TCTGAGTGTGATAAAAATACATTGTCCGCAAGTCTGGAATCAATAGAAAATACTTAAAAGCCCCTCCTCCCAAAACAAAAGGAGAATCCTGTTTTCTAACTAGGTCAATGCAACAAATATAATCAACAATTAGTCATGTCTATTTCCTATTGCACTAATGGTCAAAGGAATTAAATGGAAAACCCAACTTTCATTATCACTTCCTCAAAGGGATGGCACATGTTGAATTATTTTGGAATGCAAAAATGGTTCTTGCTACTTCAATACATAGAAAGTTGAATTCACATATCCACAACAAAAAAGAAAGAAAAAACTATGACCAAGTTGAAACAAGAAAAAATAGCTTTGTATATCCCCTTTCATGACTTAATATATAAACTGTGTTGATATATATAAAATAAAGTATGATTCTTAAAAAAGAGACATTCACATGATCATACTGGATACAGACAAGTGTAGAACAGACTCCAGGGCCCTGTGGAGGTAAGGAGGAACTGTTATGGCTTAATGGGCACAGAAGATCCTTTTAGGATGTTGAGCAATTTCTAGAGTTCTGTAATAGAACTGGTTTCACAACATAGTGAAAGATGTTAGCGTGGAAAAACACAAAAGCTTATAATACTTAAAATAGTAATGTTTATGTCATATGTGTTTTTCCAAATAAATATGTATTAAGAAAAGATGGTGGTAACTCAGGTAGACATTTGGGTTGGACTTAAAGGGATGAAGGAAAAAGGTAATTTGGTTGAAAAGCACCTTTAGTTAGAGTGACAGAAGCAAAAAAAAGAAAAAAAAAGACAAGAGCCAACTTAATGTTTTTTAAAAGAAGTGTGGGCAGTTGTTTGGATCATGTGACTATGTGTAAAGGGCCAAGAGGGTGAACTTTGGTCCAGTTATTTAATTTCAGGTGTAAAATGTCTTGGTTTATGTCACAGGGAAAATCATTGACTACTAGTTTTATAGAAACCTAGAGAAATAAAAAAAAATATTACATCCTGTATAATGTGTCATCAAAACCAGGCATGGCTGGATATGAGTCAGAAAAAATAATTTGATATAAATTTGGCTTTAATGGCACCATGAATAAGTTTTGTGTTATTGCTAATACTCAAGGAGAAACTGTGGTTCACCTTCACAAGCTGTACACTACTTGTCAGATGCAAACACTTTACAATGTATGTGAACAAATGCTGCTCCTAAGAAGGGCACATGCCATTATAGGGCAGGGGTTGGCATACCATGATCGTCAGGTGGTTTGAGCTTTAAAGTCAGGAGGATATTGGAAGATGGAAAGGTGACTCACTAATACGGAAATTTGATTAATTTTTAAAGGAGAAATGGAGCCCAGTCCCACACCTTTTGACTGATTTGTTTGTCCAGTGGTGTACTTGAATGGCTCCTTGAAGGGACACAGACTTCACAGTGATCATGTGCAAAAATGAACTACTGACCCAGCCCCTCATTTCTACAGATTTCAGGTTTCTTCTTCCAGATATTAGGGCCCCAAGCCTTGGAGTCGTCACTCCTACCACAGATCCCACCCATCCGTAAACTGATTTCACTTCCATTTGTATCCAAAATCTTTTCTCTTTCCCTGTTGCTATTGTCCCATGCAAGCTTCCTTTTCTTGTTGGGACATGTGTGATGAACTTCTTCTATCTGTCCTGGAATACTTTTCATTTAGCTAATTGCTAGAATAATAAATTTAAAACTCATGACAGCTTATGTCAAACCTCTGTTACTTCCAGTGGCTTCTATTCATTTGGAGTGAAATCACAGGTACTTGAACACAGTGGGCTGACCTATTCTCTGGACCTTTGCACATGCTGCTTGCTGTCCTTGGAGAACTCCATCATCCATGTGACCACATGGTTTTTCTTGTGCCATCATTTATTCTTTGCTCAAATTCACTCTTCTCTTTGGTTCCTACCTACACTACCTTAATTTCAATCTCTCCACTCCACAGATTCTCCAGATTTTATCATCTCGTTGGATATTAAGACATCATTCCCTGGAACATACTGTTTTTTTAAAATAGTACATTGTTTACCTATTAGATGTGTTTACTATTATCATTTCCCCTAGTATAATTTAAGTTCTACAAGGCAATGACACTGCCTCTTTGATTTTCCAATGCAACATATGGTTCTCTAACAACTCCAAAAATTATCTGCATCATGTGACTTGTTCAGTGTGCCCTGAGCTACTGAAGTCCATCTTAAATTGAAGATTTGTGTGGAAACTGACATAAACTGAGCTTCTCATTTGTATGATCTTGTGAAAGGAAAGCTATTTACATATAAGGAGGAAGCTGAGCAGCCGAGGAGAGGAAAACCATAGGCCTAGTTTTCCCTCCATCCTTTTCCGTACTCATCAGCAGGAACTTCAGAAACCTCATCAGACGTATGAAGGTATTAGTCAGACTACTTGAATTCAACCACAGCTCTAGCAGTTGCCATTGAGGGACCTTGGAATTCTTTGAGCTTCTGTTTCTCTTTCTGTGACAGAGAGTACAAGAGTATCTACGTGGGATATATGCTCATATGAGGCAGAGCCATGAAGTATTTCTCTCAATTTCTGACACATGAAGAGTGTTTATGTAACTGAAAAATTATTGCTGCTAAGATTTTCTGAGACCAGATGTTCTGCATAGAATCATGAACTGGATATAGACTGTGGAACTGGAGTTAGATGTAGAGATGGATGTGGATAAAGATAGGATACAGATATCAGCATAATTATAGAATATTATGCTAGTTTTTGCTGCTGTAGTAAACACCTGGGAGAAATAGTTTAAAAGAGAAATGATTCTTTAGGCTCATGGTTTCAGAGAGTCCTGTCCATGGCTCCATTGCAGTGGTCTCATAATAAGGCAGAGTCTCATGTGGCAAGGGCACATGGTAGAGTGATGTTGCTCATCTCACAGTGGTCAGGAAGCAGAGAGAGACAGCACTGGATGAGGGTCATGTGTTGCCTTCAAAGACATGTCTTCTAGGCCTGCTTTTTTCCAGCAAGTTCCCACTATCAAAATTTTTGAACTCCTAAAATAGTGCTATAGACTAGGATCCACATTTCAACCCATGATCTTTGGGGTTCATTTTAAACTCAAAGACTATTTATGTTGGAGAACTCAGTACTGAAGCAAATTGCTGAGATAAATCTATTATCAAAGATAGACGTTATATTGTAGTTTACAGTTTTAGAGGTTTCAATTCCTTGGCAGTGCTGTTGCTCTAGAATGTATGGGAAGACAGCTCATCATGGTAGGATGACAGTGGTAAAGCACAGCATGAGATGAGAGAGAGAGAGAGAGAGAGAGAGAGAGAGAGAGAGACTGAGAGAGGGGAGAGAGAGAGAGAAATCAGAGACCCACAGTCCCCTTCATGGTCATGCCCCCAGGCACCTAAGATCATCCATTTTCTTCATTTAAAGGTCTTACAATATTTCTTTAAAGCAACTCTGGAGACCAACACAGTCATTGGGGGAAAATCTCAGACAAAATCTTTGGCACTTCTGTTCTCTATCTCTTATTTCCTTCTTATCTCTCCTAATGGAAGAAGGAAGCCCAAGGCAGAGCTATATAGAAGTTCTGCTTTGAGATTAATCTCGTTTTACCAAATCTCATTTTACTTGCTATTTGAGAAGCTTAAGGAGAAAAAGAAGTAGAGAGGGGGTGAGGGGACTTGATGGTAAGGAAATGAAGTTTCTGTCTTATATGAAGTTATGAACTTTGAAGAATGATTTTATGTAAGCACAAAGAAAGATATTTTAAAATACCATCTTTGTGTATGCACTGATATGCTTACATAAACCTGCTCAACTATGATTACATACAATAAAGATATGTACAAGTTCATTCTACCTTGGCATTATAGAATATTAAGTTAAGGATTAAGGTTTTAAAACTGAAAATTTCAGTGAACTACTAGGCTGAGAGGGAGAGAACATCAGATACATCTTTGATAAGAACATTTGAATTTGAGTTGCAAATGTGTAATACTGGTTGTCAACCTCATGAGGTTGAACTCTCCTTGGAGATTAATAAAGCGCACTTCTGTGTGTGCCCGTGAGAGTAGTTCCAGAGAATATTGATATGTGGGACAGCAACTGTGAGCCAGCATACATCTTTCCTTCTTTAAGAAGTTTGCCTCAGTTGTTTATCATAGGTATGAGAAGCCTGAGTAGAGGAAGGGTGATCTTTCCTCTGCTTCTCGACACTTTCGACTCTTTGCTGCAGCTAACCAATTATGAAAGTATAAATTATGAAAAATTTGAACCGTTACAAAAAGTCAGAATAACATAGTTGAAAAAAGGAAATTGGGTCTAGGGTTTGGGCTGAGGGTGTAGCTCAGTGATAAGCATATGCTTTACATATATGAAACAGTGAATTCAATCTCCAGCTCCACGAAGGACAGAAGGAATGGTGGAAGGAAGGGAAGGAGGACAATGAGAATGAAAGATGGTATGGAACTGAAAGGACGAAAGGGAAGAAGGAACGGAGGAATGAGTCTTAAAGGTGCTGACTAAGGTAGGCGATGACAGGCAAATTCTGTCTCTGCTTCATTTTCTCCTTGTGGATCAGATTAGTAGGAGCATCTGTCACACAGGCTTCAAGAAAATTCACTAAGGTAAGAGCACCAAGAACTGAGAGCATGGAAAGAGCTCAACCTGTGCTGCTGGTATCTGGTTCTGTGCAAGTGTAATCAGAAAGTTTTGTCAGACCTTGGCTCTCTAGGTGTTAAAATGGGCTTCATTGGGGGTGTAGACAGGATTCTTCCAAAAAAAAATTTTTAAGATGAAATGTTATAAAAAGCTAAATAATTATTGTTGTTTAAAGCACTGTCTACAGATTATGAACACGTTGAGCCAGTCAGTCTGAGCACTCTGATTCTAGGCTCTCTTTTCTGTGTAAGTTCCTATATTTACCCTGTCGGAGGAGTCCATGAGCAAGGCTGGACCAGAGGAAGGATGAGAGGGTTCTACTTTCTGGACATGCTTACCTGTGAGTCTCAGCAGGAGGGCCAGCAACAAGACACTGTGAGGAGTCTGGGTCCAGGAGTCAGGGTTTGGCATCATGCAGCTCAAAGGTGACTGTTTGTCCAGAGTCTGTGCAGTGATGTGCCAGATTTTCCTTTGTGGAGATAACAGACGATTTGATTCCCTCTGCGCAGAGTGACCATGGTGCAGGAAGCAGTAACTGTATGTATATGATTGTGCAATAGAAAGTAGGTGGTGAAGGAAGCTTCAGGGAGGAGTTCCTCATGGTGCATTTGCAGAAGGACTCCAATGAGCCTAGCAGAAAGAATACTTTTTCCTCTCTGGAGCGTATCTTGATCCAGCTGGCCCCTCAAGACATCTTTAGGTCTGTGTGACTCACCAATTGAGATCCAAGATTAGAAAGATATTTCTCAAATTTCCAGCTCTAAGAACTGAGATGTGTGGCAGATTTCTCACCTCTTCTATGCCTTTCTCAACTTAAAAAAATGATTTCAGAGAAGTGTTTCTGAGGTCAATTGTTCTGTCATCAGTTGTCAATTTGACATACCTGGGTTGAGAGAACCTCAATTGAGGAATTTCCTTCATTGGATTGGCCTGTGAACATGTCTGTGGGGCATTTTCTTAATTGTTGAGTGATGCAGGAGGCTCAGCCTACTGGGGTGGTGCCACCTCCGGGCAGGTGATCCTGAGTTATATAAGAAAGCAGGCTGAAGAGCTGGAGAGATGGTTCAGTGGTTGAGAGCACTGGATTCTCTTGCAGAGGACCCAGGTTCAGTTCCCAGCACCCACATGACATCTAACAACCGTAACTCCAGTTCCAGGGGATCTGACACATGGAAGGCAATACACGCATACAACATAAAAAATAATAAACAAAAATAAAAAAAGAAAGTAGGCTGAGCACAGGCCAGGGGAGAAAGCCTATAGGTAGTGTTCCTCTATGGTCTATACTTCAGTTCCTGTCCTGAACTCTGCCTTGGCTTCCCTCCATGATAAACTGTAAACTGAAGGTGAAATAAATCCTTTCCTCCTCAAGTTGGCTTTGGTCAGTGCTTTAATCACAGAAATAGAGAAACAAACTATTGAGACATCAACCCAATGCTGAAGGGGATTCATTTCTGTCCTTGGAATGAGTCCCATGAATCTTTCATTGATATAGAAGTAAATAGAGTCCAAATACTGTTTAATGAAAGTCTTGGGAGTAAATGTTTGTGCCAACCAGAACCAATAATCTCCTGATCTATCCCAAAGAACAAGTTGGGAAATTTTATGAAGCATCTGCTTAATAGGGGAGGTTGTATTTTGTGGGTTATACTGGAAGAGGAATAAAGTCTCCTGGGGCAGGGGGAGGTCTTTCACATGGATGTCCAACTCTGTTCAGCATTAATACTCCTATTCATTCCCCACTGTGTACAAGTGGGAACTACAGAGAGAAGGATTAATGAATGCCCTGACCTACCACGTGTGTGCACAGGATGAGGGCGAGTCAGCCTGCTCCCTTGGACTTTTCCCTCTCTTAGCTAGGAATGAGGTATGTTTCTTGCTATGTTTCAGTGAGATTTAAAGGAGGCAATGATTGTAATATACATGAAAACTAATAGATCATATTGATGTTTCTGGTGTGACATGAAGACAGGAAAAACAAATACTGTACTTGAGTGGAACTAGTTTCTTACAAGTAGTCTTCTACTCTCTAGACTTCTAGGTGCCTAGCTTATGTGCTATCCATGGACTATCTCTGATTTATGAGATCAACTCATGGGGTTCTGTATCCTCTAACCCTCGTTGATCATTTGAGGTGGCAGCCACTTTGCCTCAGGCCCTTGGTTGTCTCAAAGTTTACATTTGGTAACATCACTTGAATCAGACATATGTAGGTATAAGGTATAAGGTGTAAAGTCAAAGGTGTTCTTGATTTCCTAAGGTTAGTTGTCTGAGTTTGCATGATAGACTTACGATGGGGAAGAGACATCATCCCTGTCCAGGTCTGAAGGACATTGTCATGGGAAACTCAACTACTCTTCATGAAACTCCCCTTCTCTAGTCTCATGCTTAGAACTATTTAATTCTGGATGAGATAACTTTTTGTCTTACAGAATTCAATATTATTCATTGCTCATCTAGAGAAAGAAACTATTTTGACAGAGTTATCCACAGGACCCTCTAGATCCTGATTTACCTGGAAGAAGGGACATAAATATCAAGCACCATGGAGCACCTTGGTGCTGGTCTTCCTGCAAGGGAAGCACAGCACGTACTTCTAGTTCCCTCCAACCATGGTGTCTCTTATTTGAAGAAAAACTTGAGCCATCTCACCAGGCTCACGAGGGGACTGAGACTTGGTTATAGTGGCATAGGATAGTTATGCTACTCCTTCATCTTGCTATGACAAGACTAAAAGAGTAGCCATAGTTGGCACTTTTAGTTGGAATATCTTATGGGGCTCAGGAGGAAAAGATACAAGGCATATTTAAAAGTAAAAACAGTTTAAAGTGAGAGAGCCAGAATCAGAAATAATCACATATGGCAGAAATATTATAATTTGTAAAAGCTATGTTTAAAATGCTAAGTGCTGGGGGTAAGCCTCAATCTGTAAACTGATTGTCATGTAAGCAAGAGGATCTGAATTCATATGCCTAGAATCTGTATCAAAAGCTGGGCATGACAGTGTGCACCTTTACCCAGTATATGCACATGGAGAAAGGACAATCCTAGGGGCCTGCCAAATCTGTGAGCTGCAGATTTACCTGTCTCAAAATTTAAGGTTAAGAATGAAATAGAAAGACACAAGATGTTGATCTCTGACCTCCACATCCAAGCTTGCATGTGTTTGTATATCTGAACACAAAGGCTCACATTCTACACACACATACTAAGGGCTTTCATGAGAAAAGCACATAACTAGCAACAAGAGATAGTTAATGAAAACAAAGAGATCAAAGTTATAAAACAGAACAAAGAATTCTAGAAATAAAAATCACTATATCAGAAGTGAATAATGCATGTGGGGGGTAAAAGAGGATATTAAAAACAGGTGAGGTGACACTCTCTGTCTCCAAACTTTTAGAAAGTAAGTTTCCACTCTTTGAAAAGTTCTCAGGCCTTCGTATTTTCTTATGGCAGCAGTAACAAGCCAGGACACTACTCATCCCATCAGAGATAAAGGAGAGACCAATCGTTCATCTAAGCCAATGAGAACAGAAAGCAGCCTTTCCTTTAGCAAAGGTGCTCCTATTTAAAGTTTGGAAAACAGGGATATTTTCCCCCATCCCAATCAGAAACAGAAGAGAGATGTGAGAAATGAACTAATTTCCAGTTTTAGCCCTGTAGGATCCCTATCGTCACACAGTGGGAAGGAGACTGTGGGACACAAAAGCTGATGGTCCTGGAGCCAGGATGACGACGCATTCAGTGTTCGTTTCCTCACTGACTTCTGGGCTTTGGGCCCATCCAGGATTTGTAGCTGTGGTAGTGAATGACTAGACTGCAGAAAAACTACTTGTAGGGCCATTTTTTCCTTTAACTCTTCTAACATGACTGGGATCATTTTTTATTTTTATTTTTAAATTTGATCCTTAAAAAAGGTACAAGCTGGACTTCAAGCTTTTTAGGAACCATGTATAATAAACATTCTTCTATTCATTTTCAGTTGATCAAAAAATATTTTCACTTGAGTCACTGGAGTCCACTGGTGGTCGAATTTCCAGATTTTTTGTTACAACTCTGGGGTATGGATGAGGCAAAAAAACAAACAAGCAACAGAAACCCCAGGAATTCCCCTCCATGCCATCTCTACTCTTGTTTTGACTAGTACCCAGTCTTGTCATTCTCTCTACCCTTTCAGTGTCTTGTGATTATTGGAATTACAATGTCAAAGACTTTATCTGTAGTGGGTTGGAAGAATAGTTGAACATTTGTCTGCTGTCCTTTAGGAATAAGAAGTGTTTTCCATGTCCAATCAAATTTTATATATTATTAAGCTTTTGAAAAATTACTATTTAATTTAAGGGTACAATAATAGAATTTATCAATTTATTAACAATGAGCCCTCCACATTTTTCTTAGAAATTGCCAGGAGATATATAAGAAAATCATTTGCCTTTAGGGCCTTGTAGCAAATGGCTGCTTAAAATCCCTATCAAGAGGGTTTTTTTAAAAAATTTTATTGTTTGCAAATTTCATCCAATATATTTTGATCATATTTAGGCCCCCTTTCTTATCTGCACCTTTCATATAGCTTCCCTCCCCCCACCAAATTTCATTTCATGTACCAAAGTCATTTATATTAAGGCTTATTGAATTAAGTTTGTGACCCCAAATGTCCTACGGTGTATATCCATCCACTGGAACCTGGTTAGCCTACCTAGCATCACCCCCTTAAAGAAAACAAACTCTTCTTCCAGTAGTTATCGGTTGCCAGTAGCTCCTCAGCTAAAGTTGGAGCTTCTTCCCCACTTTCTTACTTGTATGTTGTATTTTGCCGACTTGAGGTTTTGTGGGTCTTGTGCATGCTGTAACCTTTGCTGTTAAGTTTATATGAGTAACTTCCTAGCTGTCTGAGAAACTCTGTTTCCTTGTGTTCATCAACCACCCCTGGCTCTTGCAAACTTTCTGCTTGCTCTTCCACAATGGACCCTGAACCTTGACTGGTAGAGGTTTGATATTGGTGTCCTACCCATGGACATACACTCTGCAGTCTCTTATTCTCTATGCTTTGGCTAGTTGTGGCTTTCTGTGTTAAGCACCACCATCTGTTGCATGAGGAAGCTTTGCTGGTAAGAGCTGAGAATGCATTAATTATCTTTTATTTAAATTTTTATTGAATTTTGTGCTTTTCATACATACATCTTGAGCATATTTAGACACTGTCCCCTATTTGCACCCCCATAAGACTCCTTCCCCACTGGATTTCATGCATTCTGTCATATATGGTAAGGCCTATTGAGTCAAATTTGTGTCCCCCATGTCCCTCAGTGTGAGTTCATCCATTGGAGCCTGGTTGACATATCTAGTATCATTCCCTTAAAGAAGACCAACTCTTTATTCCCCAGGAATGAGCAGTTGTCAAAAGTTCCTCAGCTAAGGTTGTGCTGCTTATTTATTTCCCCACTTCTATGCTGGGTTTTTGTACAGTTTGAGTTTGCATGGGCCTTGTGCAAGAGGAAAAGGGGGATGAACTGGTGGATCACTGGGGATTTTGACAGCTGTCACCATTGCACAAGTTCATATGTGCAAGTTCCCAGTCTCCTGAAATGATCTGTTTCCTTGTGGCCATCCACCACCCCTGGCTCTTATAGTCTTTCTGCCCCCTCTTCTGTATGGGCCCTGAGCTCTGGATAGATGAGGTTTAATATAAGAATCCTATCCAGGGGCACACACTCTGCAGTCTCTTATTCTCTACATTTCAGCCAGTTGTGGCTTTCTGTGTTAATCATAACTTGTTGCATGAGGAAAGTTCATTGGTGAGAGTTGAGTAATACATTAATATTCTCTATGCCCCTTGTTCTGCTATGTTCCCTGAGCTTTAGGTGTTGAGGTTGCATTATAGATGTGTCACTTAGGGCTGGACATTTCATAGACATTTCTCTACATTTGAAAAATTGTAGAATGCTATAATAGTCTCCATCTGTTGCAAAAGGAGCTTCTTTCATGAATGATGAGAGGTGCACTTGTCTGTAAATATAAGGATACATACTAGAACACAGTAAAAAATTACTTTGGTCTAGGGATGTGAAAAAACAGTACGTTTTTCTCTAGGATCTATGATCTCTCCAGCCATGTGTATTTGGCTGTGTTTACAGTACTACATATGAGTTTCCTCCCATTGAGAGGGCCTTAAGTCCAATTAGACAGCTGTTGATTATCTTCAAGATAAAAGAGCCACTATTGCACCAATAGAGATAGTTTTCAAGCCAGTCATTTTTGTGGTCATTAGACTTTACAGCTGGGTAGGACCATTGATTTTCTCCTTTGGCAGTTTGCATAGTATCCTCTGATGCTATGAGAGCTAGTCTTAGGGAAAGAGGCTTCCAGGTCAGTTCTAACTCCATTGTTCTAAGTTCTGTGTCTGAAGTGTGTCCTGTCTTCAGTAATAGGGTCTTACCTCCAAGTTCTGGGATGCAATCAAGGGTTATATCAATAACTTGTGCTATTTTAGGAGTCTCTTGGACTATCCTGACCAAAAACTTGAGTGGAGGTTTCTCCTTCCTGACGTTGTGTTTTTTTGTTATATGGCCTTCAGCTCTCACATGCACTCATATATATTGTATGTGTATTTTTCAGTACGCTTTTGCACTAATACATTTCCCTCTGATTTTTCACACCACCTAAGTATTATTTATCTTTCCTCTCCCTCCCTCTGTACAACCCTTCCTATTCCTTCCCCAGTTAAAGTATCTCCCATTTTCCTCATTTCCTCCTTGATAACATCTGTGTCCTACTATCCTCCTCTCTTGAGCTCTTTCATCCTCAAGACATGGTTCTTGTCTTCTACAGTTATATCAGGATATATACTCACATCTAAGGATATGGAGCTAAGGTTCAAAAATGAGAAAGAACTTTTGCCACTTGTTTTACTGAGTCTGTGTTACTTCACTTAATATAATAGTTTCTGGTTCCATTCATTAACCTGCACATTCATAATTACATTTCATTATCCATTCATCTGTTGAGGGCCATTTAGGTTTTTCCATTTCCTAGCTAGTATGAAAAGAGCAGCAACAAACATGGCTGTGAAAATATCTCTCTGTAGTAGGATGGTGAGTCCTTCTGGTATACAACAAGGAGTGGTATAACTGGCTCATATGGTAGATTTATTTTTAGTTTTTTTGTTGTTCTCCAAACTGCTTTCCATAGTGGTTTCCAGAACAAAGATATATCTCTTTCAAAAGTGGCTATAAAATTTTTAGATTCACAGTTAAATTAATACAGCTATACAGTATTGAACTCAGTATAAACCCTGTAAGACATAAAATTGAATGAATTTTTAACATTTAATAAAGATCTCCATTTCATTTTAAAATGTGTTTCTTACAGAAATACTCATTGTTTTTGCTAGTAACACTTAGGTGTTGACACATGCGTGTCTAATCTTTATGTATCTGATTATTACTAGTCATTGTTGGTTGCACTCAGATCCTTGGCACCTGTGTATGGATATAAAGTCATCATAGATTTCAATAGTAATGTTCATCACCTCTGCTACTTCACATGACATACATTTTTTTTTTATGCTTCCTCCTCAATTATAACTGTGGTGAGTCACCTGTCCTCTTGATCAAGGAGGCCGTGGAGATACCACAAGATGGACTTGAACCAGTGTCCAGTCTACAAAGAAGAGGGCCAATACAGAGGAAACATTTCCTCCATGCTTCCAAGTGAAGCCAGCCATGGTCGAGCAGGACGTTTGACTTATCTTCACATAGGTGGAACAGGTAAAAGAAAGGAGCCAGGGGCTTCTCCCAAGCCCATGTGACCCCAGAGGAACAGATCCTCAAACCACCTTAAGATTAAAAATAAATTGGTTTATCTAGGCCAACTGTATGGCCTTAAACATCCAGAAGGAAAGTATAACCAAAGATTAATTGGGTCAATATAATTTTTAAGAGTCCTTATATATAGCTAAAGGCTACATAACAAGCAACAATGCCAGAAAAGAGATACCTTCCTTTGAGTTATTGGCCAAGGTGGCCCAAGAGTCTCCCAGATAGTAACCCAGAATAGAACTGGGAAAATGCACAGCAGACCCCAAAGTCACATAACACTTTTGTTCCCAAGTTTCTTTTGGTCATGGTATTTATCATAGCAATAGAAAAGCAAACTAATACAGAAATTGGAGCAGAAATGAAGTATTTCTCTAATGACTTGATCATGTTATTTTGAAAGTTCAAAATTCCAAGTATCTTTTGAGACTAAAGGTAGTCTTAACTGTGACTGCTCCTGTAAAATCAAAGAGCAAATTACATACTTCCAACATACAATGGCACAGAATATACATTCCCATTCCTAAATTATGGAATGAATTCATAGTGAGGAAATATTGGACCAAAGAAGATTGAAACCTAGTAGGGAAAACAAAAAATCTTGTAACCACAGGGCTGGATAGACGGCTTAGTGGTTAAGAGCACTGGCTACCCTTGGAAAGGACCTGGGTTCAGTTCCCAGCTCTCAACATGGTGGCTCATAACTGTTTATAGCTCCAGTTCCAGGAGATTTGACTACCTCTTCTGGCCTCCACACAGGTATACCTAAATACATGTAGACAAAACACTCATATGCATAAATATAAATAAATAGAGGCTGGAGAGATGGCTCAGCAGTTAAGAGCACTGACTGCTCTTGCAGAGGCTCTAGTTCTGATGCCTTCTTCTGGCCTCCATGGGCATTGCATGACATGGGTGCACTTACATACAGGCAATACACTCATACATATAAAATAAAAAGAATAAATGAAATATTAAAAATAAATAGTTTTTTAAAATCCTGTAACTCCATGTCTGATGTCTGAGGTGTTAGTTTTGGGGGGGGGCTCAGATGGCTCCACCCTTCCAGTTTTGCTGCCTGCAGCACACATTTCTCTTTTGGGGTGGCTCCACTCCTTATATGTAGTGCTTGTTGACAATTATCTCATGGCTCTGGCATCTCCAACATCTTGGGATCTCCACTGCAACCCCAGGTTGATCTTACAGCTTCATGCACTGGACTTTCAGGATCTTCTGCCCTCCCAGGGCCTTCACACTTGGACTGCTCTGCCACATGTTGCCTGATTACTTTGACTCTCTGACAACCTGGAGGAAGAACCCATGACCCTCCTCACTCTTGCAACTAAATCCAGTACCAAGGGGTTGACAATCCCAAGTTGGCTGGCAGTTTGGGATTTACAATCACCCCAATTGAACCACATTAACATCAGCTTTTGTGTTGAAGCAATTTCTTTCTAGGATCAAGCAACCCCTTAGGCTTTCTCATTTCACAAGTTGGAAGCTTAGCTGGGTGGCGTCTTGCTCTGAGGTCATTTTTTCCATTGTTCTAGTACAAAGCAGGAGGCCTCTCTTTCACAACACCAATCTCTTTAATAATTACAGTCTCTTATACAACATGTACCTTGGATGCAACATTAAGCCTTCTGGTGTTTTTTTCTGCTCCAAGTTGTACATTTTGCTTTTATTTCTTCCCTACTTACTCTATTTCATTATTGAGTTATCAATAATAACCAAGCTACAGATTCAAAATTATGCTGTCTTGAAAGTTCCTCTTCCAAAGAAATTCATCCATTACTTTATAACTTAGATTCAAGTAAGTTCTTAGGTCATGGGCACAGGCAGCCAGAATGTTCTTCACCAAAACATTGCAAGAATGGCCCCTAGCCCAGTTGCTGCTAGAGATCCTGTTCCCCTCTAAAACCTCATGAGATGAGCTTCTACCTCCTGCATTACTCTCAGAATTAATATCTTCCAGGATCCTCATAGAACAAGAATGGCCTGTTCAACTCTGCTTATAGTATTCAACTACTTTTCTAGTCTAAATTTTCAAAGTCTTCCATATCCCTCAAAACCAAAACAAAACAAAAAACAACAACAACAAAAATCTAACATGCTCAGGATCCTCATAGCAACAGCCCACTGTCTGGTACCAAGTTCTGTGTTAGTTACTTTTCTGTTGCTGTGGTAAAATACCATGACCAAAAGGATTATGAAGAAAATAGTTTATTTTGACTTATGGTTTCAGAGGGCTAGGAGCTCATCTTGGCCAGGAGGCATGACAGCAAGCAGCAGGCATGGTGGAGGAGCAGTAAACTGAGAGATCAAATCTCCATTCACACACAGGAAGCAGAGGAGTGAACTAGGAGCCAAGTGAGGCTGCCTATTCTCAAAGCCTTCCCTAGTGATGTAGTTCCTCCATCAAGACTCCGTTTCTGAAATGTTTCATAACCTCCTGAAACAGCATCACCAACAGTGCACTAAGTGTTTAAGTATGTAAGCCTATGAGGGACATTTCTTATTTGACCCAAAACAGGTGCACATGCTATGGTGCATCTATAGAGGTCACTGGGCAACTTGCTAGACTTGGTTCTGCAGGTACGGAGATGGGGATGGATCTGGAGGAGTGAAGAATAATATGATCTAAATACATTGTATAGAATTCTCAATTAATAAATATATTTAAAATCAAACAGATGAAAAATTATGTTTAAAAAGGTAGGGTCTAGTAAGAGGGTTTAAGTTATTAGCACTCTGCCTTTGTGGTGGTTTGACCAGAAATGTCTCCCATAGGCTCAAATATTTGAATACTTGGTCTGTTGGTGGCACTGTATGGGGAGGGTCATGGAACCTTTAGGAGGTGCGGCTTAGCTGAAGGAAGCGCATCACTGGGGGTGGACTTGAAGAGTTCACAGCCTTGCCCCACTTCCAGGTGCTCTCTCTCTACTTCTTGTGGGTGTTTGAAGATGTGAGTGCTCACTCTTTCGCTCTGACTGCCTCTTGCCATGCCTCCTGCCATGATGGACTCTAATTCCTCAGGAATCTTAAGCCCAAATAAAATCTTCCTTCTGTAAATTGCCTTGGTCATGTTGTTTTATCACAGCAACAGAAAAGTAATTAATATAACCCTCAGAGGAGATTGTAGACCTTTTGTTCCTTATTTTCCTTGCTGCTATAAGATGCTGATTCACCATGGGATCAAAAGCAGCAAGGTCATTTGAGCAGGGACTAAAATCTCTGAAATCATGGTCAAATGTAGCCATTCCTTCTTATGAGAACATTATCTCAGGTATCTTGTTGCACTAGCCAAAAGCTAACTGACTCTTGTTTTCTTGTTTTATGAGATCTTATAATTCAAAGATGATATAGTATCCTTTGGAGAATTAGCTTGATGATACAACAGAAGCAAAGATATATTTTATACTTAAACTGAACATTTAATAAGATTCAATATCCTCATGGATATAGTTAATTCATTTATTTACAAAATCATTTCACACCTGTTGTATAGCAGTCACTGCACTGGCACTGAGGCTAGGATAGTCCTTTCCTGGTTAGGATTGACACTGTATGTAAAAACTAGACAAATGCAAGTGCTCTCACTTTTATGTTAATGTGTAAGAATTTGTCATAATTTAAATAACACCAACCCACCAACACAAGGCTCACATTTCTCTGAGCACAGTAGCTGTATGATAAGTTGTACAAAACACAAGCTTCAATGCTGACTCAACAGTTCACAAATCAACATGTCCACTGAAAATGTTCATTACCATTAGTGATGAACCACATCACTTGTTTTAGAATTTAGTGGTAATGGGCTGGGCCTTGTGGATATCTTTCTAGGTTTTCACATGCGTATCAAACTGAAAGCTGTTTTTTCTTCTTGTTACACAGTGATGAACCGCAGGACAACACAACCACAGAAATAAAAAATTGAAAGATGGAATTTTTATCAAGTAAGGCTGTGTGGTAAAGTCAATAGTGTTACTGCTGGTCCTGAGATGCCAGCAGAATGCTAGTGGAATGAAAAAAGGATAAACATTTGACTGGTATGTTGTCACTGACACAATTTTGCAGACCTCACCTAGGCAGTCAGGGGAACTAGGGAAGAACGTATTGGTGATAAGGTGAAGGCTTTTCTAGAGAAAGTGACAGCATCTAAAAGTACACATTAGAAGAAGTATTGGAGAGAAATCCCAGGAGTGAATATGTGAGCAATTAACTAGTGGATTCAGGGGCTGGAGAGATGGCTCAGCAGTTAAGAACACTGGCTGCTCTTACAGAGGACCTGGGTTTGGTTCCCGGCACCCACATGGTGGCTAACAACCATCCATAACTCCAGTTCCAGGGTATCTTATGCCCTCTTTTGGCCTCCAAGACATTGCATGACATAAGTGTCCTTACATACATGCAAGCAATACATTCATATACATAAAATAAAAATAATAAATAAAAAATTTGAGTTACTGGATATGGATCGAGACCTATGAAAGAGGGTTATAATTCAACAAAGGAGAAAAGGTGACTGTTACACATCATAATGATGCAAGAAAAAATTGATAGCACCATTATTCTTGAAATATTTTCACAATAGGGGCTGGAGAGATGGATCAGTGGTTAAGAGCACTGGCTGTTCTTGCAGAAGACCTGGGTTTAAATCCCAGCACTCACATGGCAGCTAACAATCGCCTATAATTCCAGTTCCAGGGGATCTGTCGCTCTTTTGTGTCCTTCACAGGCACTGCAGGCATAACACTCATGTACATGAAATAAAAATAAATAAATAAAAAAGAATTCCCAAAAAGAAAACATTATAATTTTGAATGTTTAATTAAAATTTTATTACATTTGCTTATTTATTTATCTATGTGTGTACATGTGTATGTGTGTTGTAAACATCAGAGGACAACTTGCAGGAGTCATTTCTGTCTTTCAACTATGTGAGTTCCTGAGATTGAACTCAGGTTGTCAGGCTTAGCATCAAGTGCCTTTATTTAGTGAGGCATATCACCACCTTAACTCTGAATATTCATAATATTTCAAATTGTAGCTTACTAAGAATATTTGTTTTGCTATTTTTTTTACTTCCTTATACTTTTCAAGTGACAGTTAAGAGGAAAAAATCATAGAGCTCATGATTTTCCCAAGTGAATATTGAGATGGTTCCAAGGGCTTCAGTGTGCAGCTATTCTTAAATCCTCTTCTGTGGAGAGTGAGAACTGCCTGCATGTAATATAACACAGATGTTAATGAGTGCTAAGGAAAAGCTTTGATCAGGTGGAGAGGAATTGGAAAGCCAGAGTGAGGGAAGTGAAATTTACATATGGTGGTTGTTAGACCAGAACTCTGCCCTTTAAGGAATCAGTCACTCAGAAGAGGCCAGATGAAGAAATCAGGTCTCTTCTTGGGACAGACAGTTAAGCTGCTCTGTGCCGTGGTTTTCATAGCTCCTAATTTGTGATACCAGGTTGGCCTGTGCTTCTTGTCATAGAGCTATGTGGATATATTGGGAAGAAATAGAAAAATTACTCTATCTAACAGTTTCTCAAAACATTCCTTGTCATTGAATTGGGAGCCTGTAGAAGATGTAGCAACATTATAGGGGGAATGATATGGTTGGGGTGACAGCTCAGGGGAGGTGAGTCTTGGGTGTCAGACCATGTATATAATAATGAGTATGGGTGAACAGTTGGACTGGCCTGATATGTTGTCAAGGTTGTTATTTCTGGAGTTTAAATGTTTGTGGCTTGAAATTGTCCATCACAAGAGTATTTTCATGATAGACTAGAACAAGCATTACACACCTGCACTAAGTATTTTCAGGCTCAAATTTTGGATAGTCACCATCTCAAGGGTACATATACACATCTTAAAGTCATCACTGTAGGAATATAAGAGAAGAAAGAGAAAGCAAAATGTCTCCAACTCTGAACTGTCAAGGCATTTCCACCATGATGAACCAAGGTGGCAATATTTCTGGTAAGAGAAAATCTCCCATTCTATCACATTTAAGGTAGGGTAGATTTTAGTGGAGGGGTCTAAGGTACAGGATGCTTGAGTAGAGAGGGGAAAGAATAATTTCTGTCCCTAAAAGCAGAATCTCATTTGAGAATATAAACAAGGCTTGAAAGTTGGGGTAGTAGCCAACTTTCCAAAAGGCAGATTAGCTTGAACTAGGCATGTGGTGAGGGCCAATCCCATGACCATGGGCAAGAGACCTCCTGATGTGCTCAGAAAGGGATTGCTCCTTGTTCTTTTTTTTCCAATTGTTGTGA